TTCATCTTCTTCATCATCTTCATCTACATCATCATCTTCATCATCATCTTCACCATCATCTTCATCGACATCTTCACCATCATCTTCTTCATCATCTTTTTCATCTACATCATCATCTTCTTCATCTACATCATCATTTTCATCTTCATCATCATCATCTTCACCATCATCTTCATCATCATCTTCACCATCATCATCGTCATCATCAGCGTGATCACTTCAATCAGACGTTAACGTTCTCACCATCTCCATCATCATTATATCATCATCATCATCGTCGTAGTCGTCATCATCCTTCTCATCTAGTACCTCGTTCGTCATTACTATCGTAGTGTTATTGTTATAATTATTATTTATTATTTATCATTGTCATCATCATCTTCTTCATCATCATTATTATTATTATTATTATTGTTATTATTATTAACTTATAACATTTTAAATTACTTTTTTCTTTAATTTTTTACGACTTTGTTTGAAATAAAAGAGTTCCCATTATTATTATTATTATTATTTTAATATTTACGATAATTTAACTTAACTTGAACTTAACTTCAATTTTCTTATTCAGGATCCAGCTGCAAAGCAAAAAATTTAAAATCGCTGCCGACAAATTGCTCATACACTCTTCAACAACATCATCATCATCATCATCGTCGTCATCATCATCACCATCATCATCATTATCGTCGTCGTCATCATCGTCTCGATCACCCTCATGGTTAGATGATGGGGGTACGATTTCGTGTTCATCACAAAATGATGCTGGAGTCTATCACAGCAGGGCCAACTACCTGCTCCTTCCAACCGGTAAGTGGACGGATGGATGGTTGAATGAGTGGATGGATGAATAGATGAAGAAATGATAGATAGATGGATAGATGGATAGATAGACGAATGAATGGTGTGTCAATGGATAGATGGATGGACAAATTTGTCAAATAAATGAATGAATGTTCAAATGATTGAATACACTTTTCTGCTCCCAGTTATGCATTTCTGCCATGCACAAAAAATGCTTATGAGCCATTCTTCACTCATTGTAAAACTTTCGTGTCACATCAACCGTATGTAACATGTACACATGTTGTACACAACACATTTTTGTGTGTACGCTCAAACACTGCACCACAAGCACATGGCATATGACGGTCAGTTGCTTTCGAATCAGGTATTAACATCGCAAGACATGGCGCTTCTAACGACTGAGCTATCTCCGCGACTAATTCATTCTTCTGAACCTATTTTCTCAAATTTTTAGTCAAGCTCATTTTCATTCCTGGAATGTTTTATTCTATTTTTACGTGAATAATTAAATTGAATGATAGATAAATATTTGGTTAATTGCAATTTTAAATAATTTTAAATAAATTAGTCAAAATATATAATCTAGAGAATCTGTCATTGAAAAATGTAGAATAGTATAAAATTTTGATGTCCGAGTGTGCCAAACGATTTCGTACTCACCAAAATGCTGATACGGAGTTAAATATATTGTCGGT